CGCGGACGGGCGATGAGCTGGGGCGCAGCCTCCCCTCCCCCCGCGGCGCGGCCGCCGGCAACCGGCACCGAGAGCCTGGGGGTCAGGGGCTTCGAGCGAGCCACGGGGGTGGGGGAGGCGGCCGGGACGGAGGACCGATCTCCCGAAGGGGGTGGGCGAGCCGAAGCGAGAGAACCCACAGGGGGGGTTCGCGCCCGAGGGGGGGTGGGGCCGCGCGAGCCCCGGAGGCGGGGGACTCGCAGGACGAGGCCCCCCAGCGCCGAGGGGGCGGGGGCGACAGGGCTCCGAGCGGAGTCAGGGGGCGGGGCGCAGGCCCGCGGGATTAGGGGGGCCGCGGGGGCCGCGCGGAGCCGACTCCCCGCAGCTGGAGGCCGCAAGCCCCTCGGGGTGGGGGCGGAAAGAGAAGTCCTCCGGGGCTGGACCGCGGGTGAACAGCGGCTGGCCGGTCGGAGTCTCGAGGGGTAGGAGGTGGGGGACCCAGGCCGGCGGGGAGATCTAGGGGCGCAAACAGGTCTCGGGTTCGGTGAGGTTGAGTGCGGTGGCCCAGGAGGGGTGGGCGCGGCGGCACATGAGGTGGGGGCCGTAGGCGTCCGGGAAGGGCCGCCCGGGCGAGGCCGGCGGGAGGACTGGCGCGGGCCCGAGTGGGGGGGCGGGGGTTGCGATTCAGGGGGCGGCAGGGGAAAGCTGCGAGAAAAGAGGCGACGCACGACCGGCAAGGGTCCAGCCCCCAGGGGTGCAGGCTCGCGATGGGGGCGCGCAAGGGGGCGACTAGGACACACAGCCAGTACTCACCTCCGGGTGGAAAGCGGCGGCGCAGGAGTCGGAGTCCATGATCAGGGTGGGGGGCTGCGGCTGCGAGAGTGGAAGGGCTGGGGTGCGGACGCGGGGCCGTTCGGGGCCGGGGGCACCGGGGGCCGCGCAGGGAAAGGGCGGACCTCGGGGGGTTCGCCTTGGCTAGAGGTGATGAGGAGCTCGGCGTGTCGTGTTCTCCTCACTGCTCTGGGACCGACTACTCCACGGAAAAGCAGGGTCGGCGATGCTGCTCCCGCGGTGGACGAGGCGGGAGAATCGCTGCGGGGGGCGGTGGCGGCAGCGAGCGGGAACCCGACCGGCTCCTCGACCTGACGCCCAGTTCGGCTCGTGTCTCGGGAGGGCGGGAGAGCCGCAGGGACTGTCGGGAAATGTAGTCTGTGAGCGGCTGGAAGCTGGCGGGGAGGGGGCGTGGTGGGAGGAGGCGCAGGGCATTGTGGGAGTTGGTAGTTCCCTGCCCTGCGGCTCCGGCGCATACAGGCCTCTTTCAGGACTCCAACACCCAGAGAGCCTCGCGGGGGCTGCCGGACTTGGGCAGGGGGTGTCCTCGGGACTCCGGGCTGCGGGGGAGGTGCGGAAGCTCGCTCCAGCTCGAGCGGAAGGGGGAGGGGTGGCACGAGCTGCAGCGCCTCTGCGCGGGTTGTCGGCGGGAGTCCGAGCGGGTTGGGATGGGGGTGGGGTCGGCGGCCTGTGTCGCGGAGGGCGGTGGCTGCGAAGGGCACCTTCTGGCGCCTCTTCTTTCTCTTCTGGGGCTCAGGATTCGCGCCCCTTTGTGGGCCGGGGTCTTTGGGGGTGAGGGCGGCGGACGCCTGCCCCAGCTCGGTTCCCCGAGGGCGGAGTCGCCAGCTGGCCTCTCTCTCCCCACACCGGGCAGAGGAAAGTTGTTTTCGCGATGTTGAGTTTTGTCGTGGGCTCCTGCTGACCGCGGAGGCCACGGGGACCTCGGGCCGAGGCTGGGCGGCATTGAGAGGACTCCAAGGCTCTTCTGGGGGAAGCATTCACTTCTGAGTGTCGGGTTACCGCCGTCTGCAAAAACTGCTGGTGCTGTTAGCGTTCTACATGTTTAAAACCTTTTCTTCCCATAACCTTGGGACAGTCGCTGTTTTCTCACTTAAATGGAATAATTTGTAAAATACTTCTTACAGCGTTAGAGCAGCTGAGAAAGTTGAACAACAGGATATATCCGATACTTTGGATTGACACTGACTTTTAAATTAATTAGACATTTTGCGATATACGTGTGCTGGGCCGCAGGGTGTTTTGACTTTAAACATTTTGCTGGTCAGTTTACCAAACGAAAGCCTACCGTCCCTTGGAATTTTAATTATCATTTGAAGAAATTAAATAAAAATCTGTATAAAATGCAAGTAATTGAGTAACATTTTGGGGATCTTGAAAGACAAACTCTTAGGTAAAATAAGGGTAACATAAAAATGTACAATTAAATTTAGAAAGCTTAAAAACATAGGAACTCGGGGAGCTCTGGTGGCCTAGTGGTAAGGAGCTGCAACTACAATCCCAGAGGTGCACGGTTCGAATCCACCAGATGTTCTGCGGGGGAAGGAGGGACAATCTCCTGTAGCAGTCAGATCTGATTTGACGGTACACTCACACGAAAATAATAAAATAAAAATAGAAACTCAAAATGCTAGTTAGAAGAACCCACTGAGATATTTGAATGACAGTGAAAGCTAAATAGTTGGCTGTTGCTGTTAAAATATTTCTGTTGGATACATCCAATGATTAAGAGACTAGGTTTATCTTAGTATATCTTTTTTTTTTAATCTTAGGATATACTTTTAAACTAAAGCCTCGTTACATGAATGCTAATTGACTATAATAGTCATTTTTATTTCGGCATGAACGTGGCCCACTGAATGGCTCTTCAGAGATTATATATAGTGCTTTAGAAGATAAAAAGACACTGGAAGTTTCTTGTTACATTATGTATAATTTCTTAGCCATCACATTGAGATGTTTCTGCTACAGATCTGGAGTTTGATTTTTAATCACTTTTGACCAGGATAACTGTCATAGACTTGGCCAGTGCTTCTCGTTCAAATTCACCAGGAGCAACTGTCCTATCTTAAAGAACAGTGAGAAGAATTCCTTAAAATCAAACCCACTGCTAGTGCAGTAGATTCTGACTCAAAGCTTCTCTGTATTGTAGCATAGAGCTTCCTCCATAGAATTTTTCAGTTTGGGAAACCAGCTGCCTCATCTCTGACAGCTGCTGTGAAGCTAGCAGGCCAGTACTTAACCCACTTTGTCACCAAAGCTCCTCCTTGATAATATGCTTTTGTTGGTTTAGGAGGGAAATGCCAAAAATCATTAAGAGGTTAGTGCAACGATGAATGAATGAAAACCCAAAATCTCTGTAAATGTTCATTAAAATTAATAAAATTTAATAATTTCTAAAAAAATCATTAGAGGTGAATTTCCTTTTACACCATCTTTGTTTCCTAAAGTATAATTTTGTTGTGATTGATGTTTGTGTAACAGATCTTGTTCTTTTTTAACATCCTTCACATATGATGACAGTAGTTGTATTTACCATGTTGATCAACTATTACGATAATCTGTTTCCAATTTTTGCCATTACCCTTCATTGGAGGTATGGTGTCCTCGAAGTATCAAGTCCCCTTTTTCCTCTCTCTTTCTCTCTCTCTCTCTGTAATATCTGAAATAACTAATAAATGTTGGCCTTTTATACACTTGCCTATCTTCTGACAGAAGAATTGATGCCTTTGAGACGTGATTGTGGAGATGAGTACTGAATAGTACTGAATATCGCATGGACTGCTAAGCACAAACGCATATGTCTTGGAGCAAGTATAGCCAGAGTGGTCCTTGGAGGCAAAGATGACAGAGCTTCACTTCATCTCACATACTTTGGGCATGTTTTTAGGAGAGGCTGTTCCTTAGAGTAGGACATCATGCTTGGGAAGGTGAAGGGTCTTCGAAAAAGAGGAAGACATTCAACCAGATGGATTGGCACAGTGACTACTTGCTTCACTGTGCTTCAGTATGTCAAAATAATGAGGATGACCTGCCAGCCAGTGCGAAGGAGAGGTTTTCTGAGGTTCTAAAGTGATCATTGAGCATGTCAAAGGCAGGATGTGTGGACACAGCGACATGGAGTTTACCACTTTATTAAAATTGTGATTGTTCACATAAAAAAAAAAAAAGGATAGGACAGGACAATGTCCAGATCTGTTATTTCATAGGGTCACTATGAGACATACTTGAGTCTATGGCACTTAACCTAGATGGAACCACACAATATTGTGTCTCCTTTTTTCACACAGCAAGCTATTTTTAAGATTCATCATATTGTACCATATGACAGAACTTCATTTCTCTTCATGACTGAATAGTGTTCAGTTGTATGAGTAGACCATATTGTATTTATCCAGTTTTCTATTGATGCACTTTTAGACTGATTGCACCTTTTGGTACTGTCAATAATGCTACAATAAGCTTTGCTGTATTTGAGTGTCAGTTGTTGCACTGTGTTTTAAGGAAACACCATCTATTTTGTGCAGTGGCTGTACCACTTCATAATCTCACCAGCAGTGGTTGAGCATTCCAATTTCTCCACATTTCACAGTTAACTTTTTCTGTTTAGCTATCATTTGTATATAATTTTTCCCATAATAACCATTACATTTCTTCCCTATAAGATTAAGAAGATAATTTTCAAACTTCAAATGAATTGAAAGACTTTCTCAGAATAAATTGGACTTCATGACAAAATTGAGCCAAGATTTCAGGGACCTGTATTGGACACCTCGGTTTCCCTGATGACAGTAAATCCCACTTTAGATTGTACCTGTTGGCAGGTTTGCAGACATAAGTACTAATACTTATTCTTGTATAAAATCTTAGCAATTAGGAATTCTTGTACATGAATGTGACCATGTTTACAGTTGCAGTCCTGACGCCACTCCACTGACATAAAAACTTCGTGAAGAGGGATTTTTGTTTTCTTAATTTCCCTTAGAAAGTTGGCTCTTTGGAAAGAAAGTAGTATTTACCATTCCATTACTCACTGAATTCAAGAAGAGGTAATAACACTTACAATTGACCCAAATGTAATAGCATAACACATAACCATCAGGAAAGTTAACTTTCTATAAGGTGCTCTGGTGGAGCAGTGATTAAGTAGTTGGCTGCTAACCTGGAAGTCTGCAGTTCTGACCTACTAGCCAGTCCAAGAGAGAAAGGCAGGAGATGGTGCAGTTTGCTCCCATCATGATTATAACTTTGGAAATCCTACAAGGCAGTTCTGCTGTACCCTATAGGGTCTATTTGAGTCAAAATAGACCTGACGGTGTGACATAAGATATTTGTTGGATTTTCTAGTTTCTCAGACTGAAGTTTTCCTGGGTTCTACAAAGTGAAGAGAATTCCATTATTCAGCTATATTAGCTAGTCACCAGATCCTAGAGTTTCTGATTCTTTTGTTTTCTGCTTTTTTAAAAAAAATATACTTGCAATATATATATATATATATATATACTTGCTGCTGAATGCTAATTCTCAGATGATTATAGCTACTTAGGAAAGAAGAAGAAAAAGCCAACATTAGCACAGGTTGTGACAAGCTTAAAAATACTAAGAATACCATGGTTTCCCAGTACGTAACTTGAGCATAGTTATTTTAATTTGGTTACCAAATATAGCTTCACCTTCCTAAATCTAACTGAAGACTTCACTACATTCATTTGAGTAACACTCAGAAAAGCTTTCTGTGTCCCATTTTAAAACTACACTTGAGTGTGGGAATGGACATAACCAAAGGTTTATTTTTCCCCCCCTGAATTATCTGCTGTTTCAAGTGTTGGTTTGAACATGTGAAGAGGAAAAAAGGAAAATTTCTCAGATCCTAATTGTTTTCATTTCTTAGTATCATTGCTACTGTATATGTATGACTATTTTAAAACCATTAATAAATATTCCTTAACTGTATGGTGTCACATTTTCTTTCATGCATGAGAAAAATAACCTATGGGGGAAAATGCATTTATTTCATTATGGATCATACTAGTAGAATCCAAAGATAGTAAACAGGATATGTCAGATACTGTTTTAAGTATTTTTCTTTAAATTTCATTAGCATGTAATTGTACGTTTAATTAATGGTGATAATGCTAGTAGTCCTTAAAGAGTGTATATGTTGTATGTGTTACAAATCACACTTTGGGTGTCTAGATAGAGGGGGAAAAATGTTCTGGGAAAAAGTGAAATCTCTTTAGATTCTCTAAATGCTGAAGGATGTGTTCCTAAGTGTTCTCAAAGGAAAGGGAAAAGAGAGTAACAACATCTTTTAAAGCCACTTCAATTACTTCTTGTCCAGCAGAATCCAAAGACCATCTAACTTAAATTGTTTGAATTTTTTAAGTGCCACCAGGACAATAGTGAAATTGTAATTTATTATTTAAATCATAAGTGACTTAGAAAATGGGATCATTTACACAATTTCAGAAGAGTTAAACTTATAAAACTTTCATGACTGAAAGTGAATTTATAAATGCTTTTCATCAATTCTTGGCTGTTTGAGTAACATTTCCTCACCAATTGAGAGTGTTTCTGTGGTACTAGTCTTCAAGGAGTTAAAAATATTTTCATGTTTGGGGCTAGGGGGTGGGGTTTGGGG